TTGCAAGGCATAAGGGATGATCATAAAAGATGTTGCATAGCTATTAAATTGAGAGCAATGTGGAACTAAAAATATAAAAGATGAAAATATCAAAATTATTTTTATTTTACGAATAATTAAGTGAGTTATGATAAACGGATCATTTCGTTTAAATTATTTACTAAAAATAATTTTTTTAACCGTTATGTGGTTATTATTAGTGGTGTATAATTAGCGTTAAATATTTCGTTTCACACTGAAATTCTAAATAAGCTGAAAAAATAATTTGGTTAAATACGTACCATAATTTTTTTTTAAATATATTTTTTCAGACTAAGTATCATACTTTAAGATTATAAAATTTGTCTATTTGAATTCAACATTGAATAAAACCACGTGCTCATTGTGTTTAGATTTTAAAATAATCTTCTTCAAATTTAATTTTAGTAAAAAGTTAAAATATTTATAAAATGTAAGAATTGATTTTTTTTCGTGAATTAAAAAATCAAAATCTTTATATAAATATATATTAAAATTGTAAAATTAAAAAGCACAATGTGTATTATCGAAAGTTTTTTATAATAGTTATTTAAACTCTATTTATAATTTCTAATTATGTATTCATTACATATACAAGTCAACACTAATATATCAGTAACCGAAACATTAGATTTTGAAGATTTTTTTGAGTATGAGCATTTCTTTAATTAAAACTTATGTGCGCAGTAGAAAACACTTTTGGAAAATATAAAACTTATTAAAACAATTTAATTGAGTTGACGTAAAGGTGCAATTGAAATTCCACATTGTTTTAAATTCGAAACCGACATTATTTGTTATTTTGAATTAGTATAGATAATTAAAAGCTTAAAAAATACAACCTATATATTCACCTTTTTCTGGAATTTTTTTTGCTCTGTCTATAAATTAAATGCACTTCGATACTCGTGTATTTATTTTTAGCTGTGCGACATCAGCTGAATGTATATACGTAGGAAGAGTAAAGAATTATAAAAAAAAAAATCAACATGTAAATGACTCTGCTGGACCCGTTTATCCTTAGGTTTGTAGCTAAATTAAAAACGTTTTAACCTGTAGCTCAACGTGAGGATAAAGCTACGAATGGCCAATTTCCTCGTAGCCCCGAAGCGTAATGTTTTGTCTTTAACCCCCAAAAATTATTGTTTTTCCTTCTCTTTGTTTTACGACGGATCGCAGGAAGACGTGAAGATGGTGGAAATCACCTGTTGAGAAATACAAGGTTACAATGAAAAAATGAAAAATAAAAATAATAAGTAACAAAATCAAAGAAAATGTAATACGTATTTAGCTTAAACGTAAGTTTTATATATTTTTAACCTGATTGTAAATAAGTAAAAAAAAAAAATATTGTCGTAAAAGAAATTTCTGTAGTTATATCATTCCAACATTTAAAGTAAAAACTGTTGACTTATTTATCTTTTCCATTTTAATAATTTTAAGTATTTTTAACCACATGTTGAAATATATGATGCATTTTCGCGAATAAAATACAATAATTTGTGTACCCCACGAATCATATTAATTAGTAAATTAATATACGTGGACAACTAAAAAAAACGAACTATTAAATAAGAGAAATAAAAAAATTAATAGTTTTCATTTGATTTGCGAAACATCATAATATTGATGTTATATTATATTTTCTAGGAATGTATGAGCGAATAAAGTGTGTACATGTAAAAAAGTTTTATAAAAATAATAACTAAATTCTGGACACGATGTGCTTTGTGAGTTCACTACTTAAATAAGTACTGGTTAGTTATGGTACCTGATGTTTTAGTAATATATTACCTTTATTCATTAACTTGTACTTTGTGTTTGAACTTTGTAATCAAATTTATGTTTCGCAATTTTTAATTTTATTATTTCTTTTATATTCAGTAAATTAAATAAATTGATTTAACCGACAATACGTCTACCTTAGACGTGTTTTAACTCGAATATCAACAATAACTTTGTCCAGAATAATGTTTATTTATTATAAAAACAGTCAAAGATCGATTAAAACATTTGAAATTTAATATTCTCTGAATTAATTAGTTAAAATTTGTTTTTAGTTGATCTAAATATTTATTCCTTTTCATTTTAAATACGTATCTCTGTTTGACAATTAGGTCAACATTCAAGCATATTGTTCATATAGATATAGGACCAGACTTCATATACAGATACATTTTTACAGAATGCCGTTGAGGAAGATACAAGCAGTTGACACTTACCATATAAACGCGTAACATTTAATTAATATTATTATTATTATTATCCACTATTTTTCATTCTAACAATTATAATTCTTATGATATTTACGGCATGTTGTCGGCTCCATGATGGACACCCTCTCATATCCACAGGTCATGTATTATTATTCTATTTATTTATTAATAAACTTTGTTATTTGCTGTTATTCGATTACGTTACAATTTAATTAGTACGACCCTTAATTGTTTCTTGAATGGGATATAAGCTTAATAGAAATCCGCAATACTTAAGGTAGATATAGTCTAGTCAGCTATCCTGGCGTGAAATTTTTGGGTTACTGTTGACGGCCATTTGGGGCACGTACTCAAGTGGTATCGTATCAATATAAATACCATCAGTGGCCCCCTAATATCACTTCACTTTGAGCTTCCAAAAAATTAATTTCACTCCTTTTTTAATGTTTCATTTTGCCGTAAAAATTTAAACATATCCTATAAGTAGTAAAAAGTTATGCACATATATATATATATAACTGAAACATTTTCTAATGATCGTTAATATATAATAGTCTTATATGAATAACATTGAATTATTAGCTTCGATGCGAAGCTGAGAAGGTATTCATTTTATCATGATGTATTTTTTTTTTTTTGTCTATTGCTACTTTTTCTCAGCTCTCACTGGGCCGATTTTGATGAACAATATGTCAAAAGATCACAAATTGTATCTAGTTGAAGACATTATCCTTAAAAATTGAAAAAATTCCCTCGTTCCCCGTAAATGGGGCAAAATTCCAAAACAATTACAATTTTTCAAATCGGTAAATTTCATTATTTTTTTCTTAAAACTACCATACCTTTTTTAAAAATTAACAAAACGACTTAATTTTTTTTTATTGAAACTTAAGATATTTCCCTTTTATATGATATCATTTTTTTGAAAATTTAACACTTAACTTGCTCATAGGGGGGAATTAAATTAGCATATTTTTTACAGAAACTAGCTTTTTCAACTTAACTTTTGAAAATGTTCCGGAAATACTGCGTCCTTTAAACATATGTCAAATTAAAACTTACAATAAATACTATAAGTTCAAAAAAAAATTTGTCCCGACACTTTTTCTTCTATAGGAAAATGGTCGTTGAATTTAACGGAACTTTTAATATTTATGTAAAAATCACTGTTTAACATGAAATATTTTAATACTTAAAACTATCATAACTTTTTGAAAAATGAATAAAATTAAAATTATTTTTTTATATTGAAACCTTGGATATTTTTCTTTTATTTTTTTATTGTTATTTTGGTTTATTCAATATTTGTCGTATCTAGTAACGATATATATATTATGTACACATTTATTTAAGATGCATAATAAAATTTAAAATAAGTTAAAATTACTCAAGATAACAAGAAAAAAACTTTGAAACTAAAGTTCTGTTCGAGCAAGAATACTTGTAATAATAATTATACTCGTAATTTATTATTAATTGAAAACTTTGTATTTATTTATAAGAAATGAATTATTAATGATTTCTATGTACAGATGTGTATACTTAAAACACTCATAATATATTGACTTTTTCTGTAATGTACTCTTAATAGCTGATTATATGAATTTTACGTAATAAACTTTTAATAATTCATAGCATATCATTACAAGGTATTACATTTTAAGTGTAGTAGTTGTTATTGATTATATATGTGTTTTTAACGTGATTGCTGAAAATGTGTTCGTTATAAATTATTAAACATTCGATCATTCATTCAAAAACAGTGTCTTATAATAAAACTTATGATCAGAGACGTATTTAGGAACTTCACGCTCAAGGTAATGATAAAAATGCTCATTCTTTGATTAAAATTTCTTCGATTATTATTATTATTATATATATTGGTAAAATTAAAAGACATCTTGTAATAAATGTTCAATGCATTTTTCTCTGCTCTAGGAATCTGAAAGCATATTGGATATACATAAAAATATTATAAAACATCAAATTTGTATAAATTTTACATATTAATAGCCATCATTTTTATTTTTAAACAGCTATAAGCTAAAAACACCCTAAACAATTTTAATGTTTGTACCATACTCTCTAATGCAGCAAAAAAATGTTTAGGTTTAAGATGTAACTATGTGATTTTTTTGATACTTTATAGTTAAAAATGTTAAATCGAAAAATGTAGTGAACAATAGCATACCACTAAAGAGATGCCTAAGGTGGTGCAATAAATGTAGAAAATTTTATTCACTGCAAATAAAAATATTTTTTAGGGTTGGAAAAAATTGTATTTAGCACCCCCAAAAATTGCATTCAAGTTACGTTTATGCCACTGAAATGTAATACTTCCTATAATGATACCTCTTGATATGACTAATATCAAAAAGCGCACAATTATTTTTGGATTACTAAAATTATTACTCTTGGTTACCAAAAAGCTAACATTTTCTTAACTTATTATTATCTTTTACTAATTTTTTAAAAGAATGTACAACCTAACTCTTATTTTTTTCTTATGTGTGTATAGATGTTACGTGACAAATTCATTAAAGTTAGATATAACGAAATATTTGATTTCGTATATTAATATATACATGTAATATGTATTGCAATACAATCTGTGGATATCTTTTACTTATCAGTTTTTTTGGACATTTTAAATTGTATCTAAAATAATATTTAGGAAATTCGCAAAAATAATACTGGACTGGTGTATGGAGTGTTGCGTCAAGGCGCCGCCTACTCTTCACCTTAGTATAAATTCTCGTGTTAGGTTGTTTCGGTTTCACAACTAAAATACCATAGTCAGTTACACAAGTATATATTAAATAATAAACTGCATCATTAAGTTATTAAAAAAAATATATTATTCTATAAATATAACAATTTTAACAGTGATGATGACGATTCACGTATATATTTCAGTTTTGCTTTTATTTTTTTCGCTTCACTGTTTTACTTGTGCCAAACGTCATGGTAAGTATAATAACTTCTTAAGCTTATTGAAACATTTTCAAACTCAAGAATACTAATACATAATTGAACTGATAACAACAAAACAATATGTTTTCAATAATTTTTTAGAACAAATTAAGTGATTTTTTTGTTATATATCTGTTTCTATATCTAAAATTATGTAATAAAATATTTTAATTGTATTTTTTGATTAATTTTGTGGTATAAAACGGTGCTATACCATATTCTTAATTGATTCATATCATATATTTTACATATATATATTCATGATCATTTTTTACGAAGTATTATATAATTAAAATGATAATATCGGTGCAATAAGTTTAAAAAGAGACGTTATTGGGGAAGAACAAGGCGTTGGTGACTAAAGCTACGCTAATTTTGCCCTAAATTCATTTTAGCTAAAGTGTTACATACTAAATCATATGTAGTATTTCAATTCTATTACAAGTAATCATTAAAAATAAAAATAAAATATCATTTGAGAAACAATATAAAATACTAGTTTTAGTAAAACGATTTTATAATGGATTTCAAATCTATATAATTTTTAAATAATGTATAAGTAACTTTTTTCTATTAGACGAAACAAAATAATTATTTAAAAAAAATGTTTCTTAATCAAATCATTTAATTCAAATGGAGGTATTATCACTAAGATTTCAAAATAATATCGAAGAATTATATCCTGTAATAAATTATTTGGACTACAATATTTTTATTTCTATTTATAAGATAAACATGTATAGACTATTATTAAAATTGATCAAAAAGTATAAAATATTAAAGTGTACATTTCAAACTCCATATCAATATTATTATAATTTAAAGTTTTAATTAATATTATTTATTAATATCGCACATAGAGACAAATTCTTACTTCAAATTTTACCCGACCTCTAATAAATATGAGTACATTTTATATACTTCAGAGAAATAAGTAAAGTCTAAAGTAATTCTTTTAACTGAAAACAAAGGATTATCAATCCCCTAAGAGAAATAATTAGTATGATAATAAGTTTTTTAATTAGAAAATGCCGTGCGAATTAATGTTAGATAAAATTCAATTTATTTATTGTGTTTATTATTTATTGTTTAAATTAATTAATTGTCGTTAATAATAAATGAGTTAGACGAAAGTTACAAAATTTTACTGAATACGATAAATTATAAACCAAAGATTTAATAAAATTTATAAGTTACCATAAAAAGTAATATATATATATATATTTAACTTTGATTTATTTTAACTTATAAATTCTAATTTTTGATTATATAATTCAAAAATATCTTTGAAAACATTTCCTATTGCTTATTTAATTTTTTTTTGTACGATAATTGAACAAGTAATTAAAAAAGTTAATAATGGTTACAAGTTGGTGAAAAGTTTTCACAAATTGGTCAAATGAAATTAAACCTTTCTAAAGACTGTTAATTTCAATTATTTATTAATTCATATATTCAAAATAAAAAATTGGTTTATTTCGATTGGTTCAAAATATTCTTCAATTATGAAAATGTATGTTTTTTTACATAACTAAATATCATATAACTTTTTATAGCAATTTAGTCCATCTCTTTGTTTTTTTCGTTTTTTATTTAAGTACTAAATAATCAAAACGTTGTTTTTTTTTAAATCGTGTGATATTTATTATTTTTCGTCAAGTTGGTTGAAACACCTGTGAACAATTGTAAACCTTGTCTGTTTTAGTTGCTCTTCTGTAATAATTTGTTAATGAAGTAAAGAAATAATTTAAAGGTGGAAAATATTTAATATGGCTGTAACCAATAAATTAAAAAAAATATCACGAAAAAGAGCAATCGAAAAGTTTTTTATAATTTAATGAATATTTCAAAATCAAAATAATAATCACGTCATTGATGGAACAGTATCAGAAATTAGTTTATTTACAAAACTAAATAATTATAGATGCTTTTTAAAAGCATTCATTAAAACTTTTGGATTTATTAAACAAAAGTGAGGGTGAAAAATAATTTACATAATGGAAATTGAGAAATAGAACGAAGGTTTCAAATAGAAATAGATTAAATATAGTCGATTAAATAAGATCGAGTCAAATTATAGCTGGGGATTTGCCTCAACAATCCCCTATATCTATTTTTAAATTTCAAAGATAACAATGTGATTTAAAATACTTAAAGAATTCACTTTGGTTAAATTTAATTTACTATGTCAAATAAAAAATAATCCAGCGCATAGATCAACTAATGAAATGACTATTAGAGGATTCATTAATAAAATGACCTCTCTTGAATCGGCAACTAGCAAAATTTTGTCTTTTTAAGTATTTAAATATCTATTATGTATTTATATAATACTATACTGATAAATATGTATTAATTTATTTTAAATTATCAAAATAATCAATTTTATAATCTTTTTTCGATATTTTTTCAGAACATTAATTTATCAAATTTTTGATTACCGCGTACACGACAATTAAATAGTTATAATCTATTATAACTTGTTTTAAATCCAATTTACTAAATTATAATTTAGTTAACGGTATGTGGATGTAGCTAAATTTTTGTAAATGTATAATTGATATAAAAATTAATTTAAATTCAAAAAAATATTATTACAATTTAACTTTTTGTAAGATATTTTTTTTAATAAGTTGTTTCTCGCACCTATATAGTATTTGTGATAAATTGTTTCTTAGGATAAACTATGACATAATACTTTTTAATTTTAAAACAGTTAACTACAATACAACATGTTGAATTTATGGTTACGGCGTTCACTAGCCATTTATTATATCAGGCAACGTCAATATTCTTGTTTCAAAAAAATATATCAAACGTGATATAATAAATAATAATATTGTATAAAATAGGATTTGTAATTTAATAACATGATTTTTTTTTTATAAATAACAAAAAATTATAACGTTTTTTTTACATCATATCAGATAAATACATTTAAGTAGCTATTAAATACAATATAGTAAACTGTTTTAATGTTCAACTAAGTCTCATTTAATTTTAAATCATTAAAATTGTCTACAAAAAGTATTAGCTATTTATAAGCTCGGTCATGATGGTAACCACAAATCATAAAGTTAATTAAAAATGTCCCAATACTTGTCATTTTATTTTAATATTGCTGACGAACTATTCGACGTACAAAGAAAAGTTGTTTAAAATATAATTTTTTATTATATTTGTTTTATTTTTTCTATGAAACATAATTCAAATATTCAAGAATTAATGTTCCCAATTTTTTATTTGTTTTACAAATATAGAACAAAGATACACTAAATAAATCAATTTGAGTTTAATTAAGTAAAAGTTATAAAATATTCATAGAGTTATAATAAACAAATAAAATTAATTTCAACGGTTAATATAAAAATATGTTGTTTTTTAAATTTTTATGCCTAATTTTATAGATGCAGTTTTTTTGATAATAATATTTTTAGGGTTAACATATAGTACCATAAATTAAGTTTTTAATTTTTAATGTAAATAGCATAGTTTGAAAGATAAGTGACAAAATCGAAAATTCACCCTTACAGACGAATTTTTAACTCTCTTGCGACACTTGTTAACGTGACTGAATTTCAATTAAATGTTGTAAATATTATTTTTTTATCTAATGAATCAATCCTAAGGGGTACATTGAATGGATTTCAAAATCTAATTTTTAGAACCGTCAATACATTAATACAATAATGTGTATTACATAAATTGTATAAGAAAGTTCAATACAAATTCTATTAACAGTGGCTGTATGATCTAGAACCAAAGACATGATTAATTAAACGTTTGCTTTAAATGTACTTTGTAAGTTTCAAATTAATTCAATATTTGCACGAATATATTGCACATTAAAAAAACATTCCATGCCGAATCCAGTTCAGAAATAGTATAGCCAAAAAACTTCAATAAAATTTCATATCATTTAATTATAGTTTGGGAGTGTAAACAAATGTGCCAGTACTTGTGATGTCACGGTTAACTAGCCAGAAATTTCACAGCCGGTTCTAGATAGCTATTTGTACAATACTTGTCAAAAGTATTTCGAGCAAACTTATCCCAAGTACTTTGCGTACTTATGTTATTTTCTCGTCCTTTTGTAGGCAATATTAAGGCGTCTTTTTAGATTTGACTAGAATGAGAAAATTTTTGACCGGCTGATCATTTCACAAAATTTTTACTTTAAACGTACTTTAAGTAAGTTTCAAATTTACACAGAAACAATTTTAGGATACAATGTAAGTAACTAAGGTTTAAACATTACAAACAAAATGATCAGAGAACTTTTTCTCTAATTTAAAGGCTCGGGCTGTGTTGAGAAACAATGTTTTGTAAAGTAATAGTTTTGATTATGATGATAAGAGAGAGCTTGTTAAAATCGGCTTTCTTTTGTTTTTTAAATAATTAAATATGAAATATTAAGTGGCTCTAAGTTATCTTTTTCATTGAATAAAAATTCAATTTTACTACATTTCTTTGATTATTACACAATGACTTTTAACGAGGAATGGCCTTGTTCAAATTATGACCCGGAGAGCGCGAATAAAAACAGTTGCCACCTCCCCCGATGACGCTTCTGAACATAAGAAAAAATCATGCGTTTGTTATCAATTAATTTAAAAAATAAAATTACAAACGCCATTGTATTACATGGAACTATAATACTTTGTTAACAATTATCTTGAAATTAGAAAAACATAAAGTTATCTTCATTTTATAGAAAACAATTAAATTTGTAATTATTTAGTTCAAATGTTAAAATTAGTACCACCGATTGTTATTTTATGTATTTCTAATCATGAAATAATAATTTAACAACAACTCAAGTCAAACGCTATTCTATAAGAAGACGATAAGGACAGACTTCCTCTCATAGGCCATACTAGATTAATTAACAAGATTCGAAACTTAACATATATACACATAACAAAAAAAAAAATACGAAACAATTATCTCGTAATTGTAGTATTATACTAATTTATTGATTTAATTAGAACATC